CAGTTAGGGTCCTTAGTAATACACTACTGGCCCCTTTACTGTGATGCAGGTTTATTTGCGTGAATTGAATTCTATTGTCAGTCATTCAGATAAACTGATGTTGACACCTAAGAAAGCACGCTGTGCTTGGTGTGATACAGGTGTCTGAAACAGTCCCTGTGTCACACAGCCCCCCCTGTGGGTGGTGTCCCACCGCCGTCCCCTGGTGGCGACCGTGCCTTGGTTCCGCTCTCCACATTTCCTTTTGGATCTGTGGAGAGGTTACCCTCAGCTGTGGCCGTTATTGAGGGTGGCGGTTTCCTGGGTCCCTTTCCCTTACGTAACACACTTCCTCCCTTCCCTTTCGAGGCAGGAGTAAAGTGTGTCCGTTTGCCCCTTACCTGTGCCTTACCTCCTTTCCCGAGTGGCACTGGTGATTCCTCAGCCTTCCTCTTCCCAGATTTTTGAGGTGTGGATTTTTTCACATCCTTCCGGGCTGGTGGCTGCTTGGCAACATAATCTGTGAAGCAAACTCTGCCCATTCCAAAATATGGACTGCGCTTCAGTTCCTCCAGTTTGACCATGCTGTTTTCGTCCACACTTAGGAACAGAGTTTGTCCTTTCGGGCCAACCTCTGTCTCATGGTGGACTTTCCAGATCGCCGTGTTCAGCCCTGGGTTTTGTTTTGCCAAAATTTCCAAGATCTTCTTGGACTCTTTTGGCAGCCCTGGTATGTGAGTGACCATCCGTTTATACTTGATCGGGTTGTAGGCTTCCAAATGGAGTTCTGCACCGTCCCAAGGTTTTATCAAGTTGACATGGTCAGTGAGCCACTTAAGAGAGCTCTCTTGGGCTGCACTGATCACAAGTGCTCCATCAGTGAGTCTGGTGTCTTCAAACCTTGGTACGTCGGTTCCATCAGTACCCGACAGTATCAAGTCTCCAACACAAGACTCAATGAGTAGCCCCTGCTCTGTGGTCAACTTGTTAGTGGGGTAGCCTGCGAGGACCAGAGCCACTTTTTTATCATCGGTTACCACGTCCCTGTAGGTCGGTACCCAATGAGTTTTCTTACATGGAGGTTCTTGCCCCTTGTCCTCAGGTTTTTGAGCTTCGGTTCCCTTTGACTTTTTCAAGTCATCGGTTCCCTTGTCTCCCTCCTTTGGTAGGTTCTTCTGCCCCTCCATGTTTGCTCGGCTCCTCTTCAGCTTGCGCCTCTGACTGCCGCTCAATTTCTCAGGTCTAAGTTTTAGACCTTCGATTTTGTCAGCTACTGCTCCCAGTTGATCTTGCGATTCCTGGTCTACATTTTCTGACGTTGCTGTCTCTTTGCTAGTAGACGGTTCACCAAGTGTCCCGTTGTTGGCATTGAGACCTTCAAGTTCGGCGATTCTTCTGCGAAGAGTCGCCAGTTCACGATCTTGTTCCGACAGGTTGTCCGTAGGATCCCTGATCGTCACAAGTTCGTTGTTTTGTGGTTTTTCTATGTTTTTGTCCATATAGTTCCCACGAGAAGTCGAGAAATAAAGGTCCGTCACAGCAGAGCTCGATACTGTGATAAGGCTGTATACTCTATGGTGCGCCAGGTGCCATAGAGGATCCCAATGGTCACTTTACCTTTCGGCTAACTACCCTGTGACAAGTTAGCAACCCTTTCACTTGGTATGGCTGGGTTAGGGGGGCCTATTCGCTGTTAGCAAGCAGGTATGCCCAGGCCTACCGGTCCCAACTAACCAAAGTCATGACCGGCTAAGAGCAGTGGTACGTGTTGCCAACCCCACTGAAATAACTAGGGTCCGCGGGGTTGTTAGGCCCGTAATCCTTGCGGATTCCCCTGCGGGATTCATTTAACTTAACCGTCATTTTATTTTTTTGCGTGTTCCATCTTCAATGGATTCGTATATTTTTTCCTTTCAAAAATCAACTCCCCCTAGTTTATAAGGTACGGGTAACGGCCTTGTATAAGGTTATCCCTGATCATCATGGTTATGTCACGAGGTTTTGGTGTACATCAACTATCAACGACTCAACAAACATCAAATACAACTTTAGTTCATTTTAAGTCTATAATTATTTCAGTATTTAGTATTGTGATGGTGTCACGTTACCATTATTGTGAGAATTATTTTAATAAAATACAGACAGCACATCCGCTTCTAGAGACTGATGAATTAACAAATAATATTTATTGCTAAATTGGCAATAGTTCAAATTATTATAAAAACCCAAAAGACCTGACCAAGAGGGTCAGTCAACTCCAGTGCCTTGTGTTATTCATCAGTCTCGGTACTCGGTTGTTGCTGTCCGGCTTACTGTTTAAAGTAAAGTCTTTGTTTTTCCTTTTTAACCTACGTACTCTCTTCCTCGATATTTCAGAGTACTTGTGTCTTTCACTTCGTCTGCACCTCATACCTAGGTGTTACTCTTATTCCCTTCCTATAACATCGACCTTTCGACACCCACAGCTAACCCGGAATGTCAGCCGAGCTTGGTAACTGCTGTATGATTACACGCACGTAAATACCCAGTCAGCTGTAGTATCATATTTTAATACATGTAATAATTAATACTTATATTTAATAAAATATATCACCAAATCAGTGTTTCCCCGTGGATAAGATGAGTAATAAAATAATACCCTTACACAAGATTTAACCTCCCTCTTACGCATTCCATAAAATGCCCACGTAAAAGATTCTATCACATTAACCAATCAAATACAGCAAAAAATATTTCAAGAATCTCACCAGAGATCGCTAAACCAGTTTTGCGGGCTATAAAAAGGCCATTTTCCCCCAAATTCGGGTGGTTCCTCTGCGGCTTCGCTTCCCTTAGTGTGGTTCTCTTGCGGTGGTTATGTATGATTTATGAACATCCCTCTAGCGGATACTGGAACGCCTTGCCATTCTATCTATACATCTCTACGGCTCTCTGGAATACTCAACCAAGATACAAAAAGTGAATGTGCGTGAGTTTATGTTTCATTCTTAGTTACAATTCTATATGAAATCTACATCATTTTTACCCTCTTTCGTAATTACTGAAAATATTATACATCTTATTTTCGGTCGAATACTTTTGGTGATATAAATATTCTAATACATATAAAATATTGGTGTTTATTTATTTCTTTTTATTTACATTTATATTCATATATATATAAGCATATTCTAAGGTAATTAATTTGATTGAATTGTATTTATTACTTATTGAAGGGCCACAACCTGGCTGGACAGGGTAATAGTACAATAATATCATAATTAGGATTTTAGTTAACCATAAGATTTCTTCATAGTGTCTCTCCACTTATCGACTAGCTAGTCTGATCTCTGCCACAGTGCGGGCAATCGGAGTGTAGGACACTAACATAACTTATCGTGCATAAATCTATAGTACAGTCGCATCTAACCTAGGTCGTCCTACGGGTGATTCAAAAGAAGTAGGCCACATATCATAAGGTTCTTTGCATAAAGACAAAGATATTATTTGAGATCTCGCGTTGGTATATCCAGCTACGAAATACAAATAAATCAGAGTCGAAATATTATACTAAAAACTAATATTTTACTAATATATATTTATAACTAACATTATACAAAACAACTAAAAGTGTCTCTCCACTTATCGACCAGCTAGTCTGATCTCAGCCACAGTGCGGGCAATCGGAGTGTAGGACACTAGTATAATCTATTGTGCAAAGAACTGAAATTGAGCTCGCATCTACCCTAGATCACTCTTTGGACGACTGAAAAGACGTAGGCCACTTGGAAATAGTTTGTTGCACAGGACAGTTATGTTGCTTAGAAGTTATTTATTTGCTTTATAAATTATTAAATAATAAATATATTAAGGTAAAACACCATATACAAGGTTAAGAACTATACTACATAAATATACAAAAGGTTTTTACAAAAAGACAGAGTTATAATAAACTTAGACTTCACCTTGGGTAGATTTAATATAGAATTGTACTAGAAAAGTAGTTACACGCGAATTAATAATAATATAAACCGTATAAATATAATTGCGTACATTAATGCGTATTCATCTCAAGAGAATATCTGCCTTATCAGGATAGTCAGAGGTAAGTGAAACATTTGTTTATATAATAAGTCTATAATAGATCCTTTACTGAAGAATTTTTTAGTAATAAACAATTAGAATAGGATAGGTCATTGAGAATAAACTAAAATTTTTTTATAAAAAAACACGATACTTGTGACTCGCCGGAAATTAGTGTACGCGTTTCTGTGCAGGAGCTAGGTAGTGACCCTTCTTTGTAATTCCATCTTATTCATACATTAGACGTCTTTACACAAGCATACATACCCCGAGATCCCTTTCTATTTCATTTTATTGTAGTCACTGCCGGGTATCTATAGCCACTTTTACTTTCCATTGGTGCCCATCTTTTTTTACACTACGCCCGCTACGATTATTATTTCCTTATTGGCCACCTGTGTTACATTTCTTTACATTTCTTCCTTTTCACACCCCGAACCCCAAACACATTTAACAACATTCCTTTGCTACCAACACTATACCTTTTTACTTCATTTTGTTTATTACCACCTACCCCCGATCTATCTTTTTGTTTATTACACAGCAGACTTAACATCTGCGTCGTATACGCTCTCATTACTTTTATTTGTGTTAAAACAGTATTATTATGTTCTGTTCAACTATGTAAAAACCTTTTTCTTTTATTTCTTATTATTAGTAATCATTTAATTTGATAATGACTATAAAATTGAACAACCTTTATTTCTTTTCTATTTTTTTTTTTATAGTGAATTGTCTTCTATGTACAATATAATTTTTTTTTTTAATCCTACTGTGGTTCGACAGTACATTACTCGCCCAGTGAGTTGGTGACCCTCATTTTGTATTTTTCAGTACGATAAAAAAAATTACAAATTTTTACCGTTGTAGCCAATTTTTTATGATATTTGTAATCTTTCAATTATTAAAATAGTATCACTTTTATCGATCTATATATAGAACTTCAATTTTGTCGTTATAAATAAGTGTTTATCATTAAAATAAATATATATTTCTTTAGTTATATTAGTTTTTGAGTTCTTAGTACTTTATATTAGTTTCTTGGCGTAAATAATAATGAATAGTTTTAAAGAAATTTATAATTACGATTTCTGTACTAGAATCACAGTAGCCAATAGAATCAAACAATGTAATACATTTAGCATAAGATAGCACAGCGCATTTCAATTTTTAAATCACGATCATACATCTTGTAATGCAAATAAGCGAAAATCAACTAACATTAGTAGAAAAAATTTATAATTACGTTTTCAGTATTAGTAAAACAGCCAATAGAGATTGATTCTATTGATTCATCCTTAATACCTTTTAAGGGTGTCAATAATATTTAACTAGCTTATAAATCTTAAAACTTGTAATAAGAATTTTTTCAAAATCACTATAGGCTCTACTATTTTTGAGTAGAGAGAAAAAATTGCTGGGCAACTCGTGTAACTCGTACGTAAATAATTATAAATATTTATAATTACGTTTCCAGTAGAAGAACAGTAGCCAATAGAATCAATCAATGTAATTAATTTTTCATTATTTATCAAGCCATCGTTGTCTGTGTCAAGATTACTGAATATATTTGAGATTATTTCAACATCATTTTCATTAAGTTTTTCTATCTAAAGAATTAAAAATAATTTAATAAATGAGTCAGATATAATGACTAATAAATTAATTATTTTGTGATTTTACTGTTTTTTCATCGCCTGTCTTTTTAACATGAACCAAAAAATTGAAAATCTTGAAAATTCTTACACTTTTTTTATCTATAAAATATGAATATCTCAAAACATAATGAAAATATAAAAATGTTTTTCAAATAAAAAGTTTTTTTCATATCTTATTACATTTGTTAATACGAAATGTTAAAAATCATTTATGGGATGTTTTAAGAGATTAGGTTTGAAAAATTTAATGGAAATACGTGACTTAATACATACAATGTTTTTGATTCTAGCCTATTTAAGACACTATTTCAGTTATGCAGCACTTATTACAACGTTATACAAAATGTAAATACATCATTTATAATTTAAAACTATTTAATCTAAATTATTGCTACGTTAGATCGCCATGCAATATCCGTATGTATAGTACATGTAAAATTTTAACGCAATGATAATAGCAAAACGATATCTAAAATAAAAAGGCGATTACTTTTTAAATTTACAATATAAAATTAAAAAATATATTTTTATTATGAACTTGCATATTACATCATTATCTATTATTATCCATATCCCTTGATTTAAAAAAAAAGTAAACTATGTTGTGACACCCTCCTTATAAGAAGGAGAACACCACTGTGTTTCAATTACATTTGACGACATAAAATATCAACTCAAGTATCTCTTTTAGTTGAGCTTTTACTAACTATTTACAAATGTAGTTAATTTCAATTTTAATCATAAAATTATACATTAATACATCATTGCCATTGCTTATGACTTAAGTAAAAATTCTATACAGATTTTAAACATAAAACTAAACTTGCTCTTTCGCATATTCACCGTAACATTTTAAGAACACATTAGCCATCATTATTTTTATCTCTCTTAAAACATTACTTTATAGGCGATATCGAGTTTAAATAAACGATCTTATTCCGATCGGGTTTTTGAATTCGAACTGCGATCTTTTTCTTTGCAAACCATCACAACTTTGGTCACCGTCACGTTATATCTTATATCTATTTGGTGTGTCGTTTGTAAAAGCTTGGTCAAAAATACCGCATTCGCCTAATCTCCTAGTTTTTTTTTAACCGAACGCTTACACGGAAATTAATAAGTTTGAAGTATATAATAATACAATTTTTTTTTTTTTGCTGAAAAATTGAGTAGTCTGGTCTGATTGGATTGGGTTAAAAAGTAATAAAAAAATTAGTTTAAGGTAAGAAATATGAAAAACACTCAACTATAAAAAGTATATTTTTATGGTATTTAAAATTGAGAATTTTTATATTTTAAATACATTTTAAAGTAAACAAAGTATGATAATTGATATATACATAAAAAAAATTGTGTCAGTAAAACTAAAGCTAAAAATTATAGTAATTATAAATTACCTTCAAGGTTATAATTATTGAAAGTTAATCTGATTTCATGACATAATAATGCTTGATTAATTTTAGTAATATTTTCACCATATTTACTCATTATCAAAGTTTCAAAGAAATCTATGTGAAATATATTAAGTCCCTCGCTCTTTAAATATAAATTTATCATATTTTATAAATTAATAAATAAATAATTGAAAAAATACTTACCATTGTGTCCTTAAAAAAACTAAATGAACAAAAGATTAATATAGTTTTTAAATGCATTACAATGATTCTTTTACTTATGAAAATAACAATTAAAAATAATAATTATTCAAATGTTTGAATTCTAGCTGTATATTTTATATATAATGTTTTACAATTTATACTGAAATAGTGCAAATATTAATTATTTAAACTAAAATAATGTTTTTTGTTAAAAAAAAATTATATTTTAATGTATTGACATTATTACATTTAGACTTCAAAACAATTTTTTTTTGACGTCACTAAGTGTTTAAATTTACTATTCAAAGTGTAAAACTTCATTAAAAAACATTAAATTCTATATGATTACAGATTAAAATTTTTACTTTTTCTTGACGAATTAACGATTAGCTATAGCTATGTTTCTTTTTTTAACTTTTTCTTTCTCAAACAATTCAGACTAAAGGAAATCTTTTTGGTTATCTAAGCTCTTTAGGAAAAAATTAAGATAAGAGAAAAATTTTAACCTATATCTTTTAGATTATTGGTCAGTGGTAAAATCTCGTATTTAGAAATTAGCTAATATTGACACAATAAAAAGAATAGTACAAATGGTATTTGGACTCATTGATATTGTTTAAAAATATATATATCTTTTCATTTTTTAATATAATAAAATTAATAATTGATACGATCACATTTGCATGTGCCCATATCTCTGTCTCCCATAACATCATTGTACCGTTTAATAGACATATATATATATATATATATATATA